TGAAGGCCAAAGGCGGGCGGATCACGAGGGTCAGAAGATCGAGGAGGCTCCTTGGCGACCGGTGAACCCGTTCTACGTAAAAATAAAAACATGAGCTGGCGTGGCGCCCTGTAGTCACAGCCTACTCGGAGGCTGCAGGCTGGAGGATGGCGGAAGCGCCGGGAGGCGGGCTTTCATGAGCCGAGTCGCACACTGTCTCCGCCAGGGACGCAGAGCGAGACTCCGTCTCAAAACAAAGGCACCCGGGAGAAAGCGCAGGTGCCGTGATAAATTGGTGGGGGGGGACGGGATACAAGGTGTCGGTCGCATCGCACGCTGTGGGAATTATGCACCATGAAAAGGTGTGACGTTGCTCTATTCGCGTGTGTACGCTCAGTGAGGTGTAGCCGACCATATATAAGTTTCCTGTGTATGTGTGTGTATCGTTGTGAAAGGCCAATTGATGAGTAATGAGTGTGTGGTGTGTGTGCCGGGGGTCGGTGAGGTAATTATGTAGTCGGTGCGTGTTCACGGTAAAACGAGGTTTTTTGGGCGATGAATGTTCTGAACATTGGTATCAGGAGAATGGAGAGAGGATTGGGTCGTGGTGGGCACAATGTGAACGCTGCTCTGTATATTTGTGTAACCTTGTCCGAGGTCTGGGTCTCTATAATGCCGCTGTGTCGGGCGCGGGGGGGGCGCGGGGCGCCGACTCCTCGTGGTATCGTCTACCCTTTTTCCCTTTTTTTTTTGAGCTGAGTGGGGTGGATCACGGTAATGTTTCTGGGGGTCAGGAGATCGGCAGCCTGGCGTACATGGGTGGAAACCCCGTCTCTATGAAAAGTAGCCGGCGCGAGGTGCGGAACCTGTAGCCGCCACTACGATCGGAGGCTGAGCAGGGAATGCACTAGGAGATCCCAAAGTGCCGGGATTACAGGTGCAGGCTTAACCATGCCCAGCTCCTGGATTCCTTTTAAATTGTTTTCACGTCAAAGTGAAGGCAGGTCCACGTGGACCCGGCCTCCGGCAGGGCGTCCAGGAGGCCGTGTGGAATCCACCCCCACCAGGCGTGCCCTGGTACCTGGGCGGCCGCAGCTCTTCATGGTCTCCAGGTAGCGGATGAGGGCCTCCGTCTTCACCGTGTTTCCCCACCAGTAGGGGATTCCTGGCCACAGCTCGCAGTGCCGGCCCAAGGAGCTCTCGTCCTCGTAGGAGACGATGACCTGCTGGCCCCGGGACCACAGTTGCCGCAGCGTCGGCAGCTCCTGCAAGGGACCAGAGTTAAGGGGCACGGGGGAGAGAGGAGAGCCGGGGACATGGGGGGCACCCGGGAGAGAGGAAGGCCGGGAAGTGGGGACACCGGAGAGGGAGGACAGCCCAACATGTGAGTATAAACCGAAAATGAAATTCTGGCCGGGCGCGGTGGCTCAGGCCTATCATCCCAGCACTTTGGGAGGCCGAGGCGGGTGGATCAGCTGAAGTCAGGAGATCGAGACCAGCCTGGCTGATATGGTGGAACTCCGTCTCTACTAAAAATATAAACACTAGCCAGGCGTGGTGGTGGGCATCTGTCATCCCAACGACCCAGGAGGCTGAGGGAGGAGAATCGTTCGAACCCGGGAGGCGGAGGCTGCAGTGAGCTGAGATCGCGCCCCTGCACTCCAGCCTGGGAGACAGAGCGAGACTCGGTATCAAAAAAATGTTTTTATTTTACAAATGTTTTAAAAGGAACATTTGTAGCCAGGAACAGACGTGCACACGGGGGGCCCCGCGTACAGAATGGGGCAGGCACGTGTCTCTGCCGTTCTGAGGCTGCTGCCTGGGCTCCTGTGTGCCGGCAGCCCTGGGGAAACCACACGGACCCTGACCCGGGGTGGGGGCTCCATGGAGCCAGCAAGATGCTGTATGTGTGTGTGTGTGTATGTGTACATATATACACACAGACACACACACACACACACACACACATATTTTTTGAGACGGAGTCTCGCTCTGTTGCTCAGGCTGGAGTGCAATGGCGCAATCTCAGCTCACTGCAACCTCCACCTCCCGGGTTCCAGCGATTCTCCCATCTCAGCCTCCTGAGTAGCTACGATCACAGGCACCTGCCACCACGCCCGGTTAATTTTTGTATTTTTAGTAGAGACAGGGTTTCACCGTGTTAGCCAGGCTGGTCTCGATCTCCTGACCTCGTGATCCGCCCGTCTCAGCCTCCCAAAGTGCTGGGAAGACAGGCGTGAGCCACTGCGCCTGGCTGGCGCTGCACACATTTCCAAACCCATCACGGGAAGTAGTTCTCACCAGGGTCCCCCCCGCACCGCGAGAGAGCAGGGAGCCCCGTTCAGCAGCTTCGCCTGCTACAGGGATCATCGCGGCACCCACACCCGGGGCGCGGCAGACGGAGATCCCCCTATCCCGGGACAGACGTGGGGACGTCCTTCCCCCTCCTCACCCCACGAGGACACAGCATGTCCCCGAAAATATTCTTGATGCAGGCGACCAGGTACTCGTGCAGGTCCTCGCTCAGCCCCTCGAAGTTCCTGCAGGCCAGGATGACCACCTCACGCGGGTGCCGCTCCAGCCACTCCGAGATTTCCGTGAGCGTGTCCTGGGGAGGGCGGGGGGCCGCACTGAGTCCTGCATGACTCCAACAACCCGGGGAAGGCCGGGCGCGGTGGCTCACACCTGTCATCCCGGCACTTTGGGAGGCGGAGGCGGAGGCGGGCGGATCACCTGAGGTCAGGAGTTCGAGACCAGCCTGGCCAACATGGTGAAACCCCATCTCGACTAAAAATAGAAAAATTAGCCGGGCACAGTGGCACACGCCTGTCATTCCAGCTACTCGGGAGGCTGAGGTAGGAGAGTCGCTTGAACCCGGGAGGCGGAGGCTGCAATGAGCCGAGATCACGGCCACTGTATTCCAGCCTGGGCGACAGAGCAAGACTCCATCTCAAAAAAAATAAAAGCAACAAAGAAATCCCCGTCACGGATTCCCAGGGGTGAGCGTCTCCTGTCTGGGTCTGCAGGTGACGTCCCCATCCCATTAAAGGCCGAGCATCTCCTGTCCAGATCTGCATGTGGCCGTTTCGTCCCCACGGGAGCTTGGCCACCTCCAGCTCTCCCCGTTGCATCCCCCTCAGCCCGGCCGCACCTCCACCAGGGCCGTCGTGTACACCATGTGGACAAAGTGCAGGTTCTTCTCCGAGCCCTCCAGCATGTGAGCGATCCGCAGGTCCAGGTACCGCACCCCGGCGTCCAGCTGCTCCGTGACGTCCAGCGCCTGTGGACAGAGGCTGCCGTCAGGTCGGCCTGGCTGAGCGCCGCGTCTGGGGGCTCAGGAACGGGCTGCGGGATTGTCCACCCACACGTCCTGCTGTCCAGGGGGACGTGGACGTTGAAACAACAGCCGTTTGTTGGTGCTGGGAGCTCTGCACCACGGGGACCTGCACTGGGAAAACCTGATCTCCGGGGACCTGGCCTCTTTCAACAGAGCCTGTGAGACTCTGTCCTGGGGAAGGGCACCTGCCCCCGCCCTGACACGGGTCTCACCCACGTCCCTGCAGGTCCCCAGTCACCCTCTTTCCAGCTGTCACCAGAAGGGGCTGCAGTTGGGGCAGAATCTGCTACAGTTGGTCCTCAGTGCCCTGGGGTTCACCAGGAGGCACCGAGACAGCGCGGGGTGGAGACAGCAGGGGGCTTGGGGGGTGAGGCGGGTGGGAAACGGTTCCCAGAAAAACTGAGGACGGAGAGAAATACAGGAAAAGGAACCAGCACTTCCCCTCCCTCCACAGAAAACAGCACTAGGACACGCAAAATTGTTTTTTCTTTTTTTTTTGAGACGGAGTCTCGCTCTGTCACGCAGGCTGGAGTGCAGTGGCGCCATCTCAGCTCACTGCAAGCTCCGCCTCCCAGGTTCAGGCAATTCTCCTGCCTCCGCCTCCTGAGTAGCTGGGATGACAGGTGCCCACCACCACACCCGGCTAATTTTGTATTTTTAGTAGAGACGGGATTTCTCCATGTTGGTCAGGCTGGTCTCGAACTCCCCAACTCAGGTGATTCTCCTGCCTTGGCCTCCCAAAGTGCTGGGATTACAGGCGTGAGCCACCGCGCCCGGCCTCTACTGAAATTTTTAAAAACCAGCCTGGTGTGGTGCTGCCTGGGAGGCTGAGGAAGGAGGATCCGTGGATCCCAAGAGGCAGGAGAATCACTTGAACCCGGGAGGCGGAACTTGCAGTGAGCCGAGATCGCACCACCGCACTCCAGCCTGGGCGACAGAGCGAGACTCTGTCTCAAAACTAAAAAGTAAAATAAGCAAATAAAAACAGTGTTCCCCTCTCCTCTGCCTTTGGGAAGGGAGCTCCGGGTGGGCAGCAGGTTTTGGTTTTCATCCTGTCTCCCCGGCTGGGATGGGGGCTGCATTTTGTTGCAAAAGCCACAGTGACCATCTGCCTCCTGAGCCCACAGGGCACCACTCAGACCCTACCTGGGTGACGGACGACGTCAGCACCGCGGGGCACGGACCCTACCTGGGTGACGGACCATTTCAGCACCGCGGGGCACAGACCCTACCTGGGTGAGACCACGTCAGCACCGCGGGGCACAGACCCTACCTGGGTGACGGACCATTTCAGCACCGCGGGGCACGGACCCTACCTGGGTGACGGACCATTTCAGCACCGCGGGGCACGGACCCTACCTGTCCATGCCCGCCCGCCTGTGCTGACGTGGTCTCACCCAGTGTAGGTTCCCGCCGCGGGTGCTGACAGTCGTCCATCACCCAGAGGGTTCCCACCGTCCCCATGGTGCCTGACCGTGGTCTCACCCAGGGAGTAAGGGCCCCGTGCCCCGCGGTCTGACGTGGTCCGTAAACCGGCGTAAGGGTCTGGCCCGCCGGTGCCTGATGGTCCGTCACCCCCCATAGGTCCGTGGGCCCGCGTGTAAATGGGTCCCGTCACCGTCACCAACACCCAGGTAGGGTTCCGTGCCCCGCAGGTGCTAAATGGGGTCCCGTCCAAACCCAGGGTAGGGTCTGTGCCCCGTGGCTGACTGGTCTCACCCAGGTAGGTCTGGTGCCCCGCGGTGCTCGAAATGGTCCCGTTCACCCAGGTAGGGTCCCGTGCCCCGCGGTGCTGGACGTCGTCCCCCGTCACCCAGGTAAGGTTCTGGAAGTGTGCCCTGTTGGGCTCCAGGAAGGGCAGATGGTCCACTTGGCTTTGCACAAAATGCAGCCCCATCCCCGGCCGGGAGCAAGATGAAAACCAAAACCTGCAATGGCCCCACCCGAGCTCCCTTCCAAAGGCAGAGAGAGGTGAACAACTGTTTTTTAATTTGCTTATTTTAACCTTTTTAGTTTTGAGACCAGAGTCTCGCCTATGTTCCGCCCAGGCCTGGAAGTGCGGTGGTCGATTCTCGGCTCACCCTGCAAGTTCCGCCTCCCGGTTCAAAGTGATTCTCTGCCCTCTTGGGATCAACGATCCTCCTTCCTCAGCCTCCCAGGCAAGCACCACACCAGGCTGGTATTTAAAATTTCAGGTAGAGGCCGGCGCGCGGCGTGGGCTCACGCCTGAATCCCAGCAAACTTTGGAAGGCCAAGGGCAAGGAAGAATTCACCTGAGTTGGGGAGTTCAGAACCAGCCTTGACCAAACATGGAAGAAATCCCCGTCTCTACTAAAAAAATACAAAATTAGCCGGGTGTGGTGGTGCCATGTCCCCCATCCCAGCTTTACTCAGGAGGCGGCAGGCAGGAGAATTGCCCTGAAACCTGGGAGGCGGAGCTTGCCAAGTGGAGCTGAGATGGCGCCAACTGCCACTCCCAGCCTGCGTGACAGAGCGAGACTTTCCGTCTCGCAAAAAAAAAAAGAAAAAACAATTTTGGGCGTGTCCTATGCTGTTTTCGTGTAGGAAGGGGAGTGCTGGTTCCTTTTCCTGTATTTCTCCCTCCACCGTCCTCAGTTTTCCTGGGAACACGTTTCCCACCCGTCAACAAATGCCCCCTGCTGTCCTCCATCCACCCCCCCGCGCTGTCTCGTGCCTTCCTGGTAAATCCCCATGGGCACTGAAGGACCACTGTAGCAGAATTCTGGCCCAACTGCAGCCCCCTTCTGGGTGACAGCTGGAAAAAGGGTGACGGGAACCCGTGCAGGGACGTGGGTGAGACCCTGTGGTCAGGGGGCGGGCAGGGTGCCCCTTCCCCCAGGACAGAGTCATCAACAGACCTGTTGAAAGAAGGCCCAGGTCCCCCGGAGATCAAGGTTTTCCCAGTGCAGGTCCCCGTGGGTGCCATGAGCAATCCCCCACACCAAAAAACCGGCTGTTGTTTCCAAACGTCCACGTCCCCCTGGACAGCAAGGAACGTGTTGGTGACAACCCGCACCGTTCCTGACCCCCAACGCGGCGCTCAACCAGGCCGACGATGAACGGCAAGCCTCTGTCCACAGGCGCTGTGGACGTCAACGGAGCAGCTGGACGCCGGGGGGGTGCGGTACTGTGGACCTTGCGGATCGCTCACATCTGGAGGGCTCGGAAT